AAAGTCATGCTTAGATTGTTTACATTGTTTTAATTAATGACAATTTTATTAATAGTTAATGGTTTTTAATTAGCGATATTGAGTATAGTAAATAATGGTTTAATATTTTCGGTCTAGTTCTTTTCTTTGTTATATTTTTAGAATATCGCTAAATAGAAAACAGACTTAATGTTGAAATTTTAAAATGTTGTATTAACCTTAGGATTGCGGATGAATAACAAAACTAAAACAAAATAATAAAAATCCCAGAATGGCACCCTTGTCATTTTTATTACATTTTCTATATTCAAAAAAATAAAAAAACAAAAATCATATCATTAAATTAATAATGTCGACGCATCATTTGAAATATAAACAAGTTTGAATTGCATATCAGAACAATACAAATCAATTTTTGGTATCGTAAAGTCTCAATTTTCGAGAATTTGTTAATAGTAAATTACACTTGAATTTTCAAGTTTTTTTGTTTTTTTTAAATCGCCTAAAAATAAATGTTATTTTAATTACGCTACCAACATTGTAAGGTTAAACGTTGAAATATTTTAATTATAATGAGTTTTTTTAATAAAAAAACAAATACAATTCAAGTGTCTATTTGTTTTAAATCTAGCTAAAAACGCATCCATAAGTCATGAATGAGCGAATTTTGTAGAAAATTCGTTTTAATATTTAAATTTTTTCATTTAAAATATTGTTTTCAATTCAATAAAAGGTGAAGCTTTAAAAAAACATTTAATTATTGTACAGACTAATGATTGGTTAGTCGTGCGACAAATAAGCAAGTTCTACAATAAGATTATGATAAATAAAATACCGTGATTGTTAATCTATTGTTAACAATTGTATATATTTCATTATATTGTTCGATTATTATTCGTTCAAATTGTTATTATTATATTGTAAAAACAATTATTTAATTGTTAGGCATTAATTGATAATTATTTTAAGGATATTGAGCATAAATAATAATAAAATAATTAATAATTAATTTCCCTTAATATCAATTTAAATGATTTTTACATTTATTTTGGTTTGTTATTTATTTTTTAAAGTTATAACTAAAATATTTATTTTATAATCATTGTTTTCCATCACAATTATTAATTAAAACATTATATATCAAGTTCAGTATTTAATAATATTTAATTCTACAATTATACAAAAATGTTTTCATTGTTTGCAATGTAATTTCTATTTTTAATTAATGTTTATAATTGATTTTCGGTTTTATATTGTTTTAAAATTATTAAAAAAATATCAAAACGCTTCAATAAACCAAATTCGAATTTAAAATTCATTAACCTCAAATTAAAAATAAACACTTTTATTCATGTAATAAATAATATCTGTTTTTAACTTTATTTGATACTTTTTAAACTAAAAAAATAAAATATTACATAAATCCATCCTAAAATTTCATTCTATTGTTTTTTGTTTAACCATAAACACCGTTTACAATGAATTAAAGTTATTTTAGTTTTAAACTATAGTTTTCAGATTGATTACCATGTTTTAAAAACAATTTCCTCTAAACATTGAAAAATGAAAAAAAAATATTTTATAATTTTATAAAACAATGTTGTTTTGACATTATTATAAAATTGTGTTTTATAACATCAAAAAAATAAAACAATGTTGTATTTAAATACCCCATACATACATTATTTGAAAAAACAACCTTTTTACCTTTTCTGAAAATAAATAAAAGATCCAAATTTAAAGAATAATAATGACCATTTGATCAAAATATCAAAATATTTTTCAATATCAAAAAATTTGATTGTTTTTGCGTTTGTCAAAAATAAGATAACACAAAAAATAATATGTTATTTGTTTTACAAATCATTGGTTAAATAATCTGTGATTTGATAAAACTGAAAATATGTTCTATTTTTTCATGTTACTTACATTTGCTTATCCCTTCTATTGGTGTTGGGAAAGCAGCATGTTACAGTGTTTTGATGAGAAAAAATCCAATTGCAACTCTACAGATATTATTTACACTCATGAGTCTCTAAGTCTATTTGGTATAAAATCACGAAATGTTAACATAATATGTACTTCAATTTCATTATTAACAATTAATATCCCAAATGGTATCAACATCATGCAGGTTTCATTAAATAACACGCAACTTCTTATTAAAAATAAATATGAAAATATAGTTCACGAATTAGTTGCAAATACCAAATCTTTCTTTTTAAATGACATTTCTCAAACACCCCCAAACAAAACTTTATTATTAAAACGCGGAGGAGTTGTTTGTTATTATTATTACAACGACCATTGCTTGATTTGCAAGTCACCAACAAAAAGTTGCAAACAATGTGAAGATGGGTATAGCCACAGTCAGGCGTTTTTTGTTTTTTTATTATAACACGCCGCTGTACAAAAATGTTTCCTTGTAATTTATTTGATTATTACCCGTTTTTTCAGTCTTTTAAAGGCCTTTTTATTTTTCTTTACCACAATAATGAACGTTTTTTGAATTAAAAACATCACAAAGCTTTTACCACTTTACTCATAAAAATCAAATATTTGGTCTATACTTTTACCATCTTATTAACTGATTATTAGCATAAAGTTAACATATCTTACGCCCAAAAGGCTATCAACAAAGGGCAAGGCCAATTTTTGGATTCACAAATAGGCGCAAAAAACACAAGAAAAAGAAGCTAAATTCGGACTAAAAATTAAAAATAAACGGCGGTTGACGATTAAATTAGCTTTTTTTCACTTGTAATGCGATAAACGATTGGTACGTATTTCCGAATTTTACCATTTTCTTGATAAACAAAAGAAATTACACACAAAAAACCAAAACTATACCATAAAACATAAACCGCCTAAAACACAACACTTCAAAAACAATCAATGAAAGATTATAATAATTGCTGAATAAATCATTTTATTGAAAAATCAGGATAATATACATAACAAAAGGGGGAAATGTTCTAAAACATCATTAAGAACAAATCAACAACGAAACTTAGACAAACATTACCATAATAATTTAATAGATAAAAAACAACTATACAATAATTATTAAATAACTATATAAAAACCATCAGAAGTAAAACAAATAACTATATGATAACTATTATATTACTATCAAATGAAACTAATTAACTGAAATAATATTAAGTTCCAAAATTAAGAACCAATATATAATTATTAATAAAATATCAAAATATTATCAAAAGACGGCACTATTTAATAGTAAAACGTCAAGCACAGTAACAATAACATCAATTTATAATTAGAAGTTGTAATGACAAGATAGAAAAACATTAAAGGGGTATTACTTGTTATTCGATTCCAAATTGAAACAAAAATACAAACTAAGAAGTTATTTTAAGACCATTTGAAAACATGCTTTATAAACCAAACACAATTTCAATAATTTATAAAAATACCTTTTTTACTTCTTTCACTCTCGCTTCTTTAAATATATTTTGGCTTGATTCTTTTAACTCAATGATTTTCAATTTATTGTCTTTAATTGATTGTTGTGTCTTTTTCACATTTTTTGTGTTTTTCCAATTTAAAAGTGCATTTATTCAAAAACTCAATTTTATTCAAATTCTGCAAGTTTTACAATAACCTTTCTTGTATACATTTTCTCTTGTTTTTTAGCTTTGGTAACTGTGGCGTTCTGTGCTTCTTTCTTTTTAAAATTC